TTCTGGTCCTTACCAACCAGAGACAAGGAACCAGAACCAGTACCAGAGCCTCTAGTCCTTAACAACCAGAGGTAAGGAAGATCAAATCCCCTCTAGATCTTAACAACCATAGGCAAGGAACCAGCGCCTCTGGTCTTACCAACTAGAGCCTTTGGTCCTTAATAACTGGACTCAAGGCCGTCCTTAAACACCAAGAGGCAAGGCCGACCAGAGCCCCTTTAGACCTTATGATTAATTTTCCACCACAATGTAAGGGGTGCTGCCCCTTAACTCCCAACAAAGTCATACTCGTCTTATAACAAGTGTGCACTCTGCACCTCCTGACTTGTACTAGAACACAATATAAAACCCCCCTTAGAACTCGATGTTACTTCCAATTACACTTAAATGGTCTGGTGACACTAAAATCACCAACATTGAATTGTGACAACCATTTTTTGGAGCTTTCATTATTCATGACTTCAGCACTCTTACACATATGTCCCACCGTGTTGGAATTTTTGAGAGAAAAGGTTTTAGAAATAAATTGTTTAGTTTCCATCATGTCATCATCAAAATATTACATGTCATTTAAGTTGACCGGTTACCTGATATATAAGTAAATCGGATACTTAAAAGTTTGATATTTTACAATTGATGTATCAAAATAAAGGTTTTGAGAGTATGTTACTCAAATCAAGTTATATTATTTTTTAATGCAATTTGCCCAAAATACATTTAGAGAAGGTTTTGGAAAATAAAAAGTAACGAAACATCAACTTCTTAGTTTTTAAAACCTTCTCCAAAGTTAAATTTAAATAAACTCTTCAATTATCGAATATCGGTTTAGTCTAAACTCTAAACTTTAAAGGTCATTTTTATTCTAATGGCTTACCAAGTTGCAAAAAAGAAATGCAAATGTTATGCGTACAATTTTAATAAATTCCAAATATGTTTATTTTAGACTGAATAGTTGTCCATATAAATCTTAATTGCCTCTCAAATGAATTTTAATGTTTTTTTGTCATATAAAAAGAGAGAAAAAACAACTAAATATTTGAATAACTTCATTTATGAACATCCATACATTGTTTTAGTATAATATTCATAAACTTTTCTACATAATTTTCATTATATATTTATAAAAGTTATATATAGAAAGGAAAGTTTTAAAGGAGAACAATAGCCGAATAAGGAAATATGAAAATGTTAAATCACGTACTAATAGTCAACACAAAGGTGTGCAGGCGATATGGCCCATGATTTCAGGTCACAGCTAAAGTCGTGTGAATTACATGTGATTTTACACAGGTGCGGAACACGACCGTTGTAGTCTTGGGGGACAAAATATAATATTATAAAAATTCAGAGATCCAAATGATACACATTAGGAGTGTGTTTGGTAGGTTATCAAAAAAAATTATCCAGTATTGTATACCAACAAGTTATAATTGGTATGTAAAATCTTATTTCATGTCTCAACCAATTGTACTTGGTACCAAAAAGAATTCGGTTGGTACATACATATATAAAAATTTGCCCATGACATTTTGAGTTTCCAGATAATCCATGTGACATTTTTAGTGACGTTTTGGTACCAACTTAGTTTTTGACCTCACATTGTTTTTGTTATGGTCTACTATTAAATTTTAGGAAAATGATTGGTTATCATAACACTAAAACTCATTCACATTCTTTTTTTATTGTCTTATTTGAGCTTTTGTTGTCGTGTAAATCCGTCTTTCTCTATATATTATATAAGTGTTGTACAGTAATTTGAATAATATATAAACTTATTTATAGTATATTGTCTATTTAAATAATACTAGAAGCATACTCGCGCAATGCAGCGAGATACATCGTGATTTTAATATTTCATTTTATTCTTTATCTCAGTCGATGTTATAATATGGCTTTATGTGATTTTGAGAAAACGATGATGTTTTTATTTTTGAATAAAA